CCTACAGTAGAGTGAGGTAAAATAATATACCTGAAAAAAAAAATTCATTTCACAGTGCAATTGTTTTACCATATATGGCTATAACTGTCATAGGAATAATAATATACAATTATTATTATTGTTTTATTCTAATTTGTTTGGCTCTCAAATTCACCAGTGAGACTGAGACACTATATCACAACTAAAAAGAGGGTTGAGTCTCCTTTAAATTTCAAGAACAAGTACATTCACCAGCTTTTTTCTTTTACTTTGCACACTGAACCTGTGTTGGAGCTCTTAATTTTGAACTCTCAAAGTGCACCAGATTTATGAATTTAACTTTAAAATGTACAACATTTTCTTACGGGGGGGGGAGGCATGCCCCCGAACCCCCGTAGAGGGATCAAGGACCACCCACCACAGTTTCACAAAATCCTGTGGGAAACACTGCAATTTATCAACTGATTTTTTTTATCAATATTCTGATTTCTGAATATCCTGATATTCAGATTTCATCAAATTTTATGTCAACACAACATGTTCTTTCAGTTGTTTGGAACTTCACACATGAATTGAGATGAGGATTTATTTTACTCATAACCTGTAGTTTATATATTTTTTGGGTTTATTAAATATGTTGTTAAATATGTTTGTCTGATAATATGTGTTAATAAATCATGTGTTTTTAAGATGCAGAACATTTTTTGATAAATAAGGGATGGCCCACTTTACCTGAAATTAAATTTGTCTGGAGTGCATGATCTCAAATATGTTTATTGGTATATACCTTGCAAATAACACTTTATATGAACTGTATTTAGATTTAAATATTATAGCTAGACCTTAAAGTTAACAAAAGTAATAAAGAAAAGGGGGAAAAAACAGGTTTTACAAAAAGTGGCCAACTTTACCTGAATTCACCCTACTTATTAAGGACTTTTAAACGTTATACTTTAAAAGAATATTCCTAAGTGTGAACTGAATGTAATGTTTTCAGACAATTGCATGTTAATTGCAATTAAATGAAAATGCATTACAGTTTAAATTTATATTAAATGCAGTTAGTTGAATTTAAGAGTGTTTTTCACCCATCTGTATATGTAATTTCATAATTACTTCATATTGTCTTTGAGATATGGTTAAAGTGTACTGTTGAATACTGACAAGCATATGGTAAACTAAAATATACTTTAATGTCATTTCTATTAAAACTCGTATGTCATGTATTTTGTAATTATTGTAATGATAATAATACATTGTAATAAAGTTGCAATTTAGAACATTTAAAATAGGCTATATTAACTTTAAATGTAATATAAAATAACACTACAGTTAAAACTGTAATCAACTTTACATGTTTTAGTATGTTAGTCAACACATTAAAATATGTGTACTTTAGTTGCATGTGTGAGGTAATTCTGCAAATATTGCAAATCAAACAATTAAATTGCAGGTTGAAAGAGAAAATCGTTCTTTTGGTATTTGTCAATTAAGTTAATTATTCTTCTATTATATTGTATCTTCTTCAAGGAAATAAACGTGTCAGAAAGTAATCTCAGTTCCTGGGTCATTGGTCACTTTTAGTTTACATTCAGTTTAGGTATGTCTGTCTAGAACCGGTGAAGTGATCTTCCTCATCTACCCACTCTTAGTTTGTGTCACAAGTTTCTTAAAGGAAATGCAGTCACGATCCATGACGTAACCTACTTAGTTATTTCAAGCCCCAGTTCATCCTCTCAGTATGACAACAGCTTAATGAATACATTATATGTATTTATGAGAACAATAGACCATAAGCAAAATTCTACTAAACCGATAAAGGACTGAAAAGTGATGTTTATCAGAAAGGATGCAGTTCATGCTGTTTAGATGTACAAATCCAATTAAAATGACAGTGATCGGAAGTGAAGGTTGATTAATGCTTTTTGACTAATCATTATAGATAGCAGGATAACAAAAACACACATTCATCTAGAGAAAGAGAGAATGAACCAGAGTCACACTAGTGCTCTCAATAAATAGATGGAGAGAGAGAAAAAGGTTTTATTTCTTTGTTCTTTGGTAACATTCCAATAAGGTAGATATAGTAAAACACATACAGTGAGTTTGGTCAAAATCACACTGCCACAATGAAGAAATATTTTAGAATGCTTTTAATTCAAAAGACACGGCACAGTTACACAAACAGGAATGTTTGAACAGATAAAAGACTTTATTTGGATTCTGTCTGTACATTCAACATCAAAATTCAATAGAGAGGTGTTTTCTGGAACGTTTGACGTTTCTATGGATCAGCACACCTGCGGGATGGGGTCTGGTGCTGCTGAAAATGTTCATCAAAAATGTTTTTTTTTAAGACATTAACAGATACGCTAGTATAGATAAAAAATGTTTTTGCAGGTTTAAGTTCACATATTAATGCTCTAATGCCATTAAACACAAATGCCCTGTTGTAGGCCTATATGAAAATGTATACGAGTTTATGTATTTGTTTTTTTGTATTTTGGTCCTGTGAGATTAATGTGACTCTAAACCCAGTGCACATGTAGGAAACGCATTGAAAAAGTAGCTTTAGCAGATTTTTCTCATTTGTAAAAAAAAAAAAAAAAAGAAAAGAAAATACCTGATTTTTCAATTCTTTATTGTTTTACACATAATCATCAGATCTTCTTCCATTTCGTGGCTGCAGAAAAGAACAAAGAAAAATATTTACTGAGAAGTGTTTTGTTGCTTTTGTTCAAGCAATTAGATAAAATAGTATATTTAAAATGTGAAATATTGTAGGTATGTCACAGTGTTGTTTTTAACTCAAAATAAAACGATTAACAATTATTTTCAGAATTAAAATAAAGGTGAAATAAATATATACAACATTAAGTGAAGATTTTAAACTTCGAAACTTAAATGAAAATTAGAAATGTTGCTTTGCCACCTAACTGAAATATGTAAAGTATTAAAAAAAAAACTAAAGCTGAAATAATAATAAATTAAAGCTATATAGAAATAAAAACAATTACAAACACATAACAAAATTACTAAAACACACTAATATTAAAACAAACTAAAATTAAAATGAACAAAACAATTTAGCATGTAAATACCATGTAGGATTGGGGGGGAACCAAAAGTCATAATTTAACACTTTTGTAAATTACATATTGGCTGACCACTAATCTGAATACATTTGTTTTCATACTCTAGAAGAGCAATGTAAAGAAGATTATTCACTTTCCTTGTTTGGCTGAACAATAAACAGTACTCGTATACCCTACCCGATAAAGGAAGTACCCTCTGCTCTGGATCCGTCCGGGCCCTTGAAGGTCATCCTGTGCACAGAAGGAATTGTTATAGATGTGCTCCAAATATCACACCACACTTTCTGCTGGTGTACACAACTTTGACTAACTCAGTTGTCAGAGTTCTTCAGATGAATCAAAGCTCTGATGACGGCAGTGTTGTTAGGGATTAAAAAGCTTTATCTACTGAACAAAATCCATCAGGACCATTTCCCGTGTGAGAGTGAGGCAGTCATCATTTACTCTTGTGCAGTTTTGTCTTTTACCCTTATAGCACTAACACTTTTAGCGTACAATTACCTCTCAAATGGACAGGAGCAGTTAATCTAAGGTTGAGCCATTTCACATCCTCCACATAAAATTAGATGGACTCAAACTCATGCATGCACATGTCAGCCTCGTGCAGCCATGTATGTGCACAAGCATGGGTTACATAATACAGAAATTAATACTTTTAAATGCAATGAAAAATTAAAAGTTAAATATTAAAAATAGTCTTCTTACATTGGGAATGATCAATTCAGTCTATTTAATCTAAATGTAGTAAATGCAATATATACACCGTGTAAGTTAATATATTACAACTATCATTTTTTATTATTATTTAAAATTTTGGGGGCAGTAATAAATTAATACTTTTATTCTTCGTTAAAATGATCAAAAGTGACACTAAAGACATTTATAATGTTACAAAAGATTTCTTTTAAAAAATGTTGTTCTTTTGAACTTTCTAGCCATCCAAAAATAAAAAAAATTATGGTTTCCACAAAAATATTAAGCAGCACAATTGTTTTTAACACTTGACTCATAGTAAGAAATGTTTCTTGATCAGCAAATCAGCATATTTTAATGATTTCTGAAGTATCATGTGGGACTAAAGACTTGAGTAATGATGCTGAAAATTCAGCTTTGTTACCATAGGAATAAATTACATTTTAAAATAACATTTTTAATTTATTTTTGATCATAATAAGTTAAGAAATAAGTTAAGCCTTGGTGGGAATAAGAGACTTCTTTCAAACACACACACAAAGTCTTATCGACTTCAAACTTTTGAATGGTACCGTATGTAATTAAAAAATGAATAATTAATTTGTGAATAAGACAACATGACTCTTATGTAAAATATCAATATTTCCAGCATCAACCAGAGAAAGAGAGAGAGAGAAAGATAGGCTGTCCAGTATGTGGTGTATAAACACATACACACACACTGTCTGTTTTAATAATAATTAACACTTACTACTTTAATAATTAACACTTAATTAAATCAACAATTACTGATGGTCAGAAAAGAAGCCCTAGAGCTAAGGCATGATGAGATATTATCAAACAGCATATGGCATTTCATAAAGCAGCACAGAGGATTGAGAGGAACAGACACTTCAGTCACTCTCCATGAAAATCCGTCTAACATTATTCTGTTTTTATCAACTATTCATGCAATTACCACAGCCACTGATAGGTGTTTTTTTACCTTGAAATATAAGTTTTGAACACACAAAACTACATACAGTTGCTGTAATATTTAACAGTATTGGACTCTATTTAAAACCAAGACCAGGGAAAACTCATTAAATATCATGAGAATAATTCTTCTTCTTCTTCAAAAATAAAAATAAAATGCATTCAATTAGAAAATTAGGGGACAAACGATGAATTATTTCTTATGTTTACACTCTTAAAAATAAAGGTGCTTCACGATGCCATAGAAGAACCTTTTTGTCTAAATGGTTCCATAAAGAACCTTTAACATCTGAAGAACCTTTCTGTTTGACAAAAGGTTCTTTGTGGTGAAAGAAGGTTCTTCAGATTACAAAAAGGTAAGAAAGAGATGGTTCTTTAAAGAACCTTTGACTGAATGGTTCTTTGTGGAACCAAAAATGGTTCTTCTATGGCATCGCTTGAAGAACCTTTTGAAGCACCTTTATTTTTAAGAGTGTAGTACAGCTAAATGTCCTAAAATTGACTTCTGAATACCAACCCGCCAGTATTTCCTTACAGCCAAATACAGTATTTAGTTTCTTGGCACTAACCCAAACTAAATATTGCTTTTGCAGTTATTTTGGTGGTTCTTAGGGTGTCATACTCACAGCGCTAATGTAGTCTGAATGAAGGTAAGCATGCAGGATACATACATTTAATTTCATTCTCCTGCTTCTTCTTCTGGCAAGCTGGGGTATGAGCTCCAGAAGAGGGTGCAACACAGTAGACTGACACATACACATATATAGAGAGATATCATGAAGACAGGCACGGAGAGATATGAAAACCATGAACATCTGTTTCTGGTGATTGGCCAGGGGTCGCAGAGAGGATTCATTTAGTGCTTTTTCCTCACACTCATCTGTCCTCAGTGCGGCTCAGTGTTCATTTTGCACACACAGTGCATTGATGCTCAGTAAAACGCAATCACATGCAGGCCATGCCAGAGCACATGGCAACATACAGTATGTGGTGGGATGTGAAAATGTGAGTGTTTAAAAGCAATATGTAACAATTAGTTACAAATATGCAGTACATTTGGCTGCATATTTGAAATGTATCACAAATCTGGCAAATAAATATTTTAAAATGTAAGATTAATTAATAAATGGCTGTATGATACACGTTTAAAGAAGAAATGTGGTGAATATGCAAGGAATGGACAGTTTGGGAGGAAAATACACTGAAACTCCTTTGACGGCATCAACACAAAATGTTATGTAATTAAATTTGGAAAATGTAACGTTACGTTTAATTGAGCTTTTCTTCTGGTTTGAGTCGCTGCCAAAATCCGGATGTTGATTCACAAAAAAAAAATCTAATATTTCAAGGGAAAATCTAGTGCAAATGATCAAATTTATGATATTTTTTTAGGAAAAATGTAATGTACAATATCAATGTAATCTTTTTCACACGTGTGGATGCTGTCAAGGAGGAATCAGGATATCAGAGGTTACATGCATTCAATGGGAACTAAAGAGTAGATAGTTTTATGTAGTAGGATGATGATCTGTTAATTATCTAAAAATAATCTAAATACTAAAGATGCATTTAGTGGTCTGCTATTTCCTAATATTCACCATTGATTAAGGCTACACTTTAAAACAGAATGATAAGACTTAGTGGAAACATTAAGATAATGTTTTTGAGTAAAATCAGACAAAAAGACAATAATTTCAAGTAAAGTTTATTTTAGTTACTTTTATTTTTTTGCAGTTATTGTACATTATCCCTTATATCCAGTTTCCTGGGAATGTGGCTATATTGCATTTTGATTTTCCATTACCTTGGCTCAGAAGCGAACTGTGCAGTGGCCTAAAATACAGTTTATTTCATTCACTTGAGCTTATTTAATGCCAGAGTATTATATCCCTAATTACAATATGCAGTTGAGTGTGTTATTGAAGACAGTGCAGCGTAGCAACAGTGGCTGAGTGTTAAAAGCAACAGACACTAAACACCTGTGAGGAAACCTACCGTCCCATCTGACAATCTTGCACCATTCGGTTTAGTGTAATGAAATAAAAACTACACATACATGTACAGACACACAAATACAAAACCAAACGCACAAACACAGAAGTTACACAAACACCAAAAATAAATACAGACAAAAACATTCATAGAATGAAAAAGAACGCCATAATCCATAAAAAAAGATCCATATACAAAAAACAATTACATGAATAGAACACACATGAATAGATAACGATAAAAGGATGCTGATGTTATGATGTCATTGAATTGTGAATTGTCATTGAATTGACGACCTCAAATTAAGACTGCAAATGTCACATACTCACCCTTTTGCTGGTCTCTCGAGCTGTGATCTCCTGCATGTACAAAAAGCAATAGATGAAGCATCGAAGCAAATTGTCTTTTCATTAATCTATTCATTAACATGGTGAAATGAGTTGAGGCTGTGACACACTTTAACTCAAAGCATAATCAAATAAACAAATACGCAAAGGTTGGCGGTGATGTGTAGAATATTTGGTAAATCTTCTGCACATGCTGATTGCGTGTGGGCATGAATAATATTCACCTTCGATTTTTGCAGTGATCCCAGCATTAGGAAACACAGGTCCTCCAGGACATCAGATGTCTGGCAAAGGTTAAAAGAAACGCAACTGGATTATGGACAGTTTAAGCCTTGTATTGTGCTTAAAATCCTAATTCAGTGTTCCTGGTCAAAAATGACCAGTCTTTTTTTTTTTTTTTTTTTAATGCTTGTAAATCTGTCATTATGCTATATTATTACCAAATTTTGTATTCAATCTTTTTTCTTTTTTGTTTTCTTTCCATTAGCACAGGTTTTGTATCTCTTCTTGGAACTGATTAGTTGTAGGCCTCATTGATCTGAGTTTATGCACCTCAGTTTTTGAGTGAAAAAAGCATTATTTGTGGATCAGGTGTTCTGAAGAGCTGCTTTATAGCTTAATGTAAATCTGTCATTATGCTATATTATTACCAAATTTTGTATTCAATCTTTTTGCCAACTTGTTTTCTTTCCATTAGCACAGGTTTTGTATCTCTTCTTGGAACTGATTAGTTGTAGGCCTCATTGATCTGAGTTTATGCACCTCAGTTTTTGAGTGAAAAAAGCATTATTTGTGGATCAGGTGTTCTGAAGAGCTGCTTTATAGCTTAAAATTAGTTTAGAATGAACAAATTTTGCAAAATAAACACTGTTATTGAACTGAAATGAATCAACATGGAACTCACTTGAGCTGAATAACAACACTACTGTCTTCATTTGATCTGCTTATTACGGAACATAACTTGTTTTATAATTATTGAACTTTAACAGTTCAGTTATTGAACTAAACTGACTGGAAGAGAATAAAGTCAATATTTTCTTGCTACAGTTGTTTTACAGCAGAATTTGAGTTTGTCTTGTATTTGGTGAAGTTAGAATCACTGATTCTGTTACTTCCCTGTTTAATACTGTAAAGCTGCTTTGAATCTCTATTGTATAAAGCACTGTATAAATAAAGGTGACTTGACTTAGATCGTTTTGGCAATGTTCACTCAAAAACTCAGCTCAGACCAATGAGGCCTATGTCTAATCAGTTCCAAAGGGAAATACAAAACCTGTGCTAACAGATAGAAAACAATTGACTTAACTCAAATTTTTTACAAAAAAAGAAAATCCTCTCTGGGTCAAAATGTCCAGAACACAATATGAGTGTTAAACATTTGCAGCTGAGCCAAATGAGTTAGGTGCATCGTACTGAAATTGTTAATGGTGTTAATTTATTTTAAAGGAATTCTTATAGAAAATTTAAAAAGCACAATTCACTGGTTCACTGGGATTCACAGCACAGTTAACCGACTGTTAGCACAAAGTTATGTACCATAATTCACTCTCGGTTTGCTTTCTCAAAAACACACACATAATTTAGTAGCTGTATTGCAAATGGCAACAACGCTGCATTACTCACTCTAAAGGACGGGTCTGCAGAGAGGTAGAATGAGCACAGATCAGTTATCTATATCAAAAGACAGAAAAGCAGTCGTAACTTTGGGGCTTATATTAATGAAGATTCAAAGAACAAATAGAAAGTGCAAACTCAAAATGAATCGCATATCATTTACATGTTGTTTTGTTCATTTCACTCCATGGCCATAAACATGCATTAAGGTTTCATATCCCAGCCTCTAGATCCCCAGGTTTACCCATGTAATTGCTCATGTGCACACAGTTAGCACATGTAAACAAAGCAGAGAAGTAATCATCACCTTAGAGGGTAAAGTTAAAAGGCATTGAAACTGAACAAATATTGGATGTAATTTATAATGAACTTTTGTCTCTGCGGAAATTTGTATATAACTTAAGGCAGTATAAGCGATTTGCTGGGAGAGTTCATATGGTTAAAATGAAAGAACTCATAAGTACGTCTATTGACAGTAAATCATACACACCTGGGTTAGTAACTGCTCATGCTCTATTGAAGATGGATTCAAGAGCACTGGAGCACCTGCAATTCATGCAGAAATCATTATTACATATATTCCAATAATAATATTTAGTGGTACAAGTAAAATAAAGTTTAATAACATGAATTTTGCATGGAATATGACAGAGAAAATAATCATGGTATTTTGTCACATTGAATTCTACACAGCATACTGTAGTTTTAGGCACTTTTAATGATTACAAAGTCTCCATTGGTCATAATTATTTGGTAAATCTCAAATCTTATTATGACTTATTACCTGTGTGAATTCTAAAACTGTCTTTCTTTGCAACTGCATCACAAAATTGCCAGTGAAATCAATCTGGAAGCCTTGACAGCTGTTATCCTTGTGAGGTTTAGCTGTACAGGTCTGAAATTAATTACCTCTGCTTGTCAATTTTCTTGTTTTGGTGATTTTGACCTCTTCCCTCAAATGAATAAGCTCCAACTTAACTGAGTTTGTTTATTGATCTGTTGTATGGGTCTCTCAATTTGGCTTTCCTTTTTGAACCATTACTGTCAAAAGGTGTTTTCAGTGAATGATTTATGGGACACGCATAAGAATTAGTGAGATCACTAGTCAAAAACAGCACAAAACTAGTTAAAAACAACCACAAAAACCACGTCAAAAAAAAAAAAAATCAATAATAAAGTCACTACTCCAAAAAGAAAAAAAGTCTAATCTAATTGATTATTGTAATTATTGTGATTATTGTAAACTTGCATCTTCATGACCCCCAGGGTCTCTTATGACATTCAACAATCAGTCGTGATGGTATAATTCTGTATATTAATAAATGCCATTTAACTCCTGGCATTTATAAATGGCAACAACTTCTGGCATTTCTTACACTGTCATTATTTTATTCAAATTCTTGTGACATCACTGCTGTCAAAATTGTCTCCGCTGTACAATAATATTTTTTCTCTCAGTGACATCATTTTAATCCTTGTGGTGTTATGATTATAATTCACAAAATGAATCATACGCATAACACTCTTTACCCCAGCCTCATTCTGCAGGTTTATGGGAAAACATCCAACATTTTTCATTGTACTAATTAGTTTCAACCTAACAAGGCACTATAACAGAATTCACTGCCCTGCACAGTAGCTCTTAGTTAATGCATCACAACGACACATTCCTGTTTATAATCTACTGGCACTATTGCAGCATTTTGAACCACAGGCAAGAAATCTAAGCCTTCAATAAAAATAAAAATGATTTCCAAACATGAAATCAGTAAAAAGTGAATCTAAAGACAAGGTAAAGACAAAAGTTGCAGTGGAGGAGAGCAACAGTTGTTGTTGTTTTTTTTTTTTTTACATGTTACAGTATTTATATATTCCATCCATAGCCTAAAGACTCATTTCTACTCAATTTTTATACATTGTACACATTTTATATTCGTGAGTAATTAAATCCAATGTGATTGAATAAGTGCATACATTTGCATATATATATATATGATTTTATACACACATATGCATTTATTTAGCCAAAGTTTTACATTTTCAAAAATGTTCAAATCCTTTTGGCTTTACAAATTCACCAAAAAGGGCACATTCAGAACTTTCACCATTATTTTAAAGCCTGTTTTGAAGCAACAATTAATGTTTGGTTTTAAAAATCGCCTGTTTGAGATATTAAAGGAATACTGAAAGTATTCTGACATTAATGTTTGGATTCCTCAGGTAAAGACACTACACCTCTATGACTGTACAAACTTCTTTTTGATTTGTAGCCTAATGTTTCCAGAAAGATATGATGCTACAAAATATGTACACACACACACACACACACACACATATATATATATATATATATATATATATATATATAAACACAAACAGCATTTTAACAGATAAACTTAATTTTAAATATTTTATTTTAATTTATATTAATATATACATTTTAATTATTATAATCATGTTGCAGTTTAGAACAAACATTAATTAAAAAAATTTAATTTAAATAAACAATCAGCTTTCTCATTAGAGAGTAAGTACTAGGCCACCAAACTTCAGCTAAGTCATTCTGACATTACTCTAGTAAAAGGAGAGATGTATGTATGATGTACTTACTTGTGGTGATGGGTATAAAGGAGATGAAGAGGACCCCGAGCATCAGGGCTGAGTTGTGTGCTGGGCTCATCGCGCTCTGAGCTGCTCCGCGTTCACACTGGCTGCTGCTCCTCATGCTCTCGTCAGTTCGCGCAGCTTCGTCTGGTGCTTTGCTTTCGACTTACAGCCTAACATTATGAACTCTCGCAGTTACACACCCTCTTCGTAAATCGACCTGCAAAGTACGTCACGATGGATCAACCCCGGCACGTGATTAATTAACACAAATGATGATGTGAAATGAATGGACAACTTCCACATATGATCAAAGCTATGAGTAATAAAACTCAAATCTGTCATTTTCAACAAGACATTTTATATAAACAGGATTGTTTTACTGTAAAATGCATTTGGCTTTTAAAGAATAATTGTTCAAATCCTTTGCTGAGATATGAATATTTTAAACGTTTTATATTTGAATATTTTTTATATTTTTAAATATGCATATGGTAATTCCTCTGGTTGACAACAGTCATTACATACTAGACAAACACCATATATCAAAGCAAAGGAAGATTTTTCTGGTTTCTTTAACCATGTTTATGGGCAAACCAAAGGGGATGAAAAAAAATTTAATCAAAGTAACACTGCAGTGTCTGAAGCTCTGTAGGCTACCATTGTCTGTCTGTAAGAAATAAGAGCTGTTTCAGTTTGAGAACCAGGCTCGGGTCACCAGGCTAAAGTTCAGTTACCAAAACCCTTTACTCTCTAGGATTCTCTAAACGTAGAAATGTCAAAATGGGACTTTGTGATGCCATATAGTACAGTCATGGTAAAAAGTTTTGGCAGTGACATAGGTTTTGTGTTTTGCAAAGTTTGCTGCTTCAGTATTTGTAGATTATTTTTCCACATGTTTCTATGGTATACTGAAAAACAATGATAAGCATATCATAAGTTTTAAAGACTTTTATTGGCAAAAAATATAATGAGTCAGTATTTCCAGTGTTGACCCTTGTTCTTCATAACCTCTGCAATTCGCTCTGGCATGCTGGATATTAGCTTCTGGGCCAAATCCTGACTGATGGCAATCCATTCTTGCCTTATTAGTTCTCGGAGTTGATCACAATTTGTGGGCTTCTGCTTGTCCATTCGCCTTTTGAGGACTGACCACAGGTTCTCTATGGGATTGAGATAAGGGGAGTTGCCTGGCCACGAATCCAAAATTTCAATGTAATGATCTTCGAGCCACTTCTTTATCACTCTTGCTTTGTGACATGGTGCTCCATCATGCTGGAAAATGCACGGATCACTAAATTGCTCATGGGTCGATGGAAGAAGGTGCTCTTGCAGGACATTTTGATATCATTCTTTATTCATGGCAGTGTTTTTGGGCAGAATTATGAGAGAGCCAACTCCCTTGGTTGAAAAGCAACCCCACACATGGATGGTCTCAGGATGCTTCACTGTTGACACAACACAGGACTCGTGGTAGCGTTCACCTTTTCTTCTCCGAGCAATCAATTTTCCAGATGTCTACAGTCGGAAGGGAGCTTCATCAGACAAAATAACTTTGCACCAGTCTTCTGCTGTCCAATCCTTGTACTTCCTGCAGAATTTCAATCTGTCCTTGACATTTTTCTTGGAGAGAAGTGGCTTCTTTGCTGCCCTTCTTGACACCAGGCCATTGTCCAAAAGTCTTCACCTCACTGTGCGTGCAGATGCTCTCACACCAACCTGCTGCCATTCCTGAGCAAGCTCTGCACTGCTGGTGACATGATTCTGTAGCTGACTCCTCAGGAGGAGATGGTCCTGGCGCTTGCTGGACACTCTGGGACGTCCTGAAGACTTCTTCACTGCAGTCAAACCTCTCTCCTTGAAGTTCTTGATGATCTGGTAAATGGTTCTTTCAGGTGCAATATTCTTTGTAGTAATTTCCTTGCATGTGAGGCCATTTTGATGCAAAGCGATGATGGCTGCATGTGTTTCTTTGGAGGTAACCATTGCTAACAAGAACACAATGATTGGAAGCACTTCTTCCCTCCTTTTATAGCAATCAGTCTGCTCTTACAATCTAATTAGTATGATAGTGATTTTACCTGACTAGTACTCATTCACACTTTCACATGTGCTGCTGATATGATTAGTCAATTAATGTTAGCTGGTCATTTTGTGTCAAGATCAAAAAACAGTCAAATTTGTTTTGTTTTGTTTTTGTGAAAAGTTCGTTTTTTTAGCCAATGAAGCTTTTAGCAATTATTTAAAATGCATCTGATCACTCTACACAAGAATCTAGAAACAATGTGAATGAACACCACAACAGCTTAAGCAGCAAACTTTGCAAAACACAAAATGTTTTGCAAAACTTTTGGCCATGACTGTACAGTAATTCCTTGACATGGGGAAAAAAAATCCTGTAAAGTGTAAATCCTATAAGTGAGTCAGACTATGATGTTCATTTACACATAATTATCTAGTACAAACTAATAAAACTCATTTATCATTCCTGGAAAGAACTGGACTCACATGCCAGTAATTATACTTTCGATCCATTTTCCTCTGGATTTTGTATATCTCTGGAATATCTGAAGATCACTAAACCATAAGGGTTATAAATGTGATTTAGAGCCCATTATGCCACACAATTTTCAGAAAATTATTTTTTTAAATGTATTTTCCCTGGGAATCCATGCTTACTAACTCCTGGTGTTCAAACAGGGAATCTTATGCTGTTGTTTGTCATTTAAAATGGCTCACTAAAGAAGATATGCCCTGAGAGAGGACAAAACTTTACAAGACAAATCATGTTCTTTGGATCTTTTTTGCAAATATCCCTTGTTATGTTGCCTGCAAGTGGCCTAGAAAGCCATAGCCACATAATCACTGTGTATATATCTGACAACAGAACCAGGAAATAACAATTTGATTAATTTTAAAAATTAATGAAAATTATTCATAAAAAAGTTAAATTCATAAAACACAGATGCAATTTAACAACTACAATTTCCTTGCTTTATAGCAAATTGCAGTCTAACATGTGATACTGTTCAGCTGAGATGTTTTTATGCAAAGCAACGTAACAGCATCAGCACCACAGAGACCTAATGGATCTGAACTAGATTTACAGGCCATGAAACTGGCTTGAAACCATGGGATTTGATCTAAAATGCCAGTACATATTCAAACACTGGAAATCATTGAATTATGCATTGATTTAAAAGGGACTGGGCCTTATAAGCAAATACTATATGGCTTCAAAAATACTGAAGTACTGCAGGAGTAGTCTACCAATAAGGATATGTTTTGGCTGTTAAATAAGTAAGTAAATAAATACATAAATAATAAATAAATAAATAAAGTAAAATAAATACAAAATATTTTGAAAGATATATATTTAAAATAATTTTAGATTTTAAACACACATATACTGTATATATATATATATATATATATATATATATCCTCTAGTCTAGTCTACACTAATGCAGTGCTACCATATAAATATAAATAAACAATTATAAATATACAGTTACACAAGTGGCATCTGTGATTCTGAACCTGAATCAAAACGTTTCGCACAAACAGTATCACTGTATGAATTTGACAGATATGAGCTACAAGTAATAACATTAAAATCCCATATTAATGCTGTTTGTGGAAGACAAACATGCATGCCATATATTGCATGTTATATGAAGCTTAAGCCTTTTATGCAGTGTGGGAATTCAACACCCAGTGATATATTATGTATATATATATATATATATATATATATATCCTCTAGTCTAGTCTACACTAATGCAGTGCTACCATATAAATATAAATAAACAATTATAAATATACAGTTACACAAGTGGCATCTGTGATTCTGAACCTGAATCAAAACGTTTCGCACAAACAGTATCACTGTATGAATTTGACAGATATGAGCTACAAGTAATAACATTAAAATCCCATATTAATGCTGTTTGTGGAAGACAAACATGCATGCCATATATTGCATGTTATATGAAGCTTAAGCCTTTTATGCAGTGTGGGAATTCAACACCCAGTGATATATTAACTACATTTTATTGTGTAAATAGAGGCAGTATATGAGGATGAAATCAAGTAGGAAAAAACTAGACGTTTAGTCAACAGGCCTTGATGTCCTTTTTGTAATTTTTCACAAGACCAGAAAAGCTGATGCCTTTTAAGTGTTTGCTTCTGATGATATGATGTTGAGGTCAATAGGGAGTGCTTATATCACATTATTGAAATAAATAGTAGAGATTTACTATAACTTTCATTGAATTTCCAATTAACTGAGAAGAGGAAGGCGTTGGAGTGTTATGGAAAAATAAAAAGCCTAAATTCAGAATTTTGTAATCAGCTTTGTCTTGTTTTGGGGGTGTGGCAGGAGCTCCCTTGAGTGGGATCTAGATACAGATAATACGATTGCACCAATGTCTGTTTAATATCTCCTCATTATAAAAATGTCAAGCATCTTAGTGTCATGGGCTCAAGAGTAAGATTCTCAGAATTAGGATATAGCCTCATATTTCCGGGCATATTCTGAATGTATGTGTGGGATTGTTCATATTCATATCTGTTTGATTCAAAACATGCCAAAAAAAACTTGTATCTCAATGTGTCTACCTGTCTAGGTAAAATGAAGCCTGTGGTTGTGTATGAGTAGGGGGAGGTGTGCTGAGTTTGTGTGTCTGTCGCCGCACATCATGACGCACATGGGAGAGCGAGATTTGATACACAGTTAAGCATAGCACCACTGGGAAATATCGGCTAAATATCAAAGTGAATAAATAATCAGTGAATATCCTTTACAAGAGGGTTATTGCTAGAGTTTTGGAGGATTGGGACTGGATGACTGAGTAGCTTCAGCAGGACTGAAATAAATAGAACGAGAGCTTTCTCACAGGTCAAAGAGATCATTTATTCGGCAAGAGGGACCGAAAAGGAATGAGGTAGGAATGAAATTAAGAGGATTAATCAAAGAGCATAAAGAAAACCACACTGCAGTCAAAACAGACAGGTGAGATGGAAACACATATAATGCACATTAACAAAATGAATGTGATTCATCCTATAGTGATTGAGGAGTAACATTATGAGCAATAGCTGCTTACCAAAGTGAGAAGTGCGTCACCATATTATGTGTAGTATTTTCCACACTACACTGTTACACTAAATTGTAAATTA